AGCGAAATATTTCAACCAACATGAAGTAGGAGCCTCCGCCTTGCTGATACTATAAGCTGAAAGGTAGTCATTAGCAGATGTCAGTTGTAGAGCAAAAAAACTTAGTCCATTGTGTACTTTGAAATGTAGTGTATAAGGAAAGTGAGTGTCATGCCAGGCTTTTCTGGGAAGAGTGAGAAGTAACAGTAGTGTCAACAGCTAATGGTCTTGGTCATTTAGGTGTGGGACCGGAATTTGTCCGACTTGAGATGGGCGGGCGATCCGAGAATCGTTGCACTGTAGAGGGAGAAGCTGGAAGCATGGTCAAAGAAGTGTGGAGGTCAGATGTATTAAAGGAGTCAGGCGGAACCTCGGCAACCGGAGTTGGTGACGAAATGGCACCAGCAGAAGGTACAGGGGTATTAGAAAGGTCCGAAGAATGGTCAAATAGCGAAAAAAGGTCAGAACAGGGTGTGGTAGCAGAAAGGGGTCTGGGAGAGTGTGTTTGTGGATTTTGGACTCCACGATTATGCCACTTCTTTCTTATTGTTTTTTTAGAAAACAAAAGAAAAAAGGAAAGAAAAAGGAATAAAAAAGGGGAGGTACATGGAGGGATAGCTCCTAGGAGGAATGAAAGGGCTGTAAATCTCCCTCTATGCCCAACCCATACCCTACCCTTCATGCCAGGATAGCAACCTCACATCTACTGGCAGCCTCCAGAGATACACCTATCATCCGAAAGACACTCAAAGCCGTCCCCCGAGAACCGGAGAAGGATTGGGACATCCTCACGCGATCCAGATTCCACGGCAAACTACACCACCACCAAGAACCTCAATGGAATGGTATGGACCCCGGTACCCTTTCCCCTACCTAGGAACTAGTGTGTGACGGAAGAACCCCAAAGGTTGAAAACAGGAAGGGGATAGAGGAGGGTTGGGGAGAGGAGGAGGAAAGGGAAAGGAGTAGTGGGGAGGATGGGATAGCAAAGGGGAAAATGGAGGGTAATTAGGTTTGGTCTGAGGAAGAAGACGAAAAGGCCCAATTCCTCAGACCAACGGCCTCTTTACCACAACAAGGAACCCCCCCTTAAAGAAGTGTACAAGTGTAGATATAGCTGGCTTGTCCCACTGTACAACTGTTGATATTGCTGGCTTGATACATTGTACAAGTGTTGATATAGCTACCTTGATACACTGCACCAGTGTAGATTCATTTGTTTTAGATTATTATTATTATTATAATCAAGGGGGAAGCGCTAAACCCGGAGGATTATACAGCACCTGGGGGGGGGGGATGTGGAAGGCATTCAGGCTTAATTCGGGGAACTGGAGCACAGATCCAATTCCCTAAATCAAGAGCCTCTCACCAACATCAAGGAACCTTCCTTGAGGGGTTTTGTTTTAGAGACTTCAAACAAATAAACATTTTAGTTTTATAAATAAAACTGGTATTAAAAAGTGTCCTTGAGCATGATAAACCAAACAATAACTTGGCCAGGACTTAACTCACACTGAAATAATAAACCAAGCACAGATCATACATTTATTTATTAAATAACAATAAGTATGAACAAATGTGATTTTTTTGTATCAAATTATATTTTAGAAAGAAAAGCATATTACCAAAGTCACCTAAGGAGCAATTAAATGATGAGTTGAAGTGTTTTAGTAATAAAACTTTACTTAAGCCAATTTCTGCCTGCAGCAAATAAAAAATATAAATATTAAATATAAAAAATAAACAAATGTTGGCAATAACTTTCTGTTTCTTCAGAAAGATGATTAACATAATTAAATGGAATGCAAAACTTGGTAAAAAGCTGAGAAATTTACATTACTTAAACAAAGGTTATTCAGGTATGAGTATTTAATAAAGCTAAAAATTACTAAAAAATTATAAATGAATAACAAAATAAAGCTACAAGGTCTAGTTTACAACAGTTTATCAATGACATTTACCATATAATGAGATTTCATAAGTGTTTCTAAGGTAGAGTTGCCGATAACATCACAGCACAGGAGTCAGGAAAAGTATTGATTAGGTCTTTATTGATCAGTACACAGTACATGTAGAGGATCTCAAGTTTTGGCTCAAAACAACTTATTAACCCAAGGGCATATTATTTTCACATAACCAAGCATGAATTCGCTTCTGTAAGGAAATAAGTTCAATGGTTCTCTCATCATAATAATCGTGTGTAATATCGACAAGCTGATGAATAAGGAACGTGTAATACTTTATTATATTTCTTTCTGAAATACTTCACCTACGCAGTAGATTTCTTCAGTTGAATACCGAGGTGACTAAAATTGTGGAGAGGTGAAGATGATTTGTTGCACATGGATCTTATTCATCAGTTCTCTTGATATGTTAGGACAAAATACATAGTCCTTTGTATCCGGAAAGCCTAAGTCCGAGGTAGTTCCATCATGACTCACTGGAGTAGTTACATTTAAGTCAACTCTCAATATAATGGACTAACAGGAAGGATTCCGAGTGTTCATTAAGTCAGGATATTGAAAAATTGCTGAGAAAACACTAAAGTACTCTACTATGTACATAATAATGTACACACAGTTTACAGATGTACTGCAATAAACAATGAAAACATGTTAAAAGTAAAATTTATCCATTGGATTTTGTCTGTTATTTCAGAAGTCAGTCTGTTATATTGAGGTCTTTTATGTCAAGGATTTACAGATATCATCTCAGAGGTAAGTAAGATAACAACATACAAAATTAGACTGGAAAGGATTACAGACTATTTATAGCACAATATATGCATAGAGTATATAATTATGCTCCACTTTATTTAAGTAATAGTGAATACCTTCATGTAATGTTCTCCCAAACTTTTATTACCTCATCTTTTTTGTGCCCTAATATATTACCGATTTTCCTATGAAATTCTTGCACCAAAATAATGTAACTACATCTAGTGGCAGCATAATATAGCTACTACCAGACAGACATACTGGAGAATTCTGGTTAATCAGCTTCCGGATAATTGGGACTTAATCAAACTGGATATAACTAAAAATTTGTGTATGAACATAATAATTAATAAAATATTGATAGTTATACTTTATTAATTCCTCTGACTTTACAGATGAATTAACTCAAATTATTTAATCCCCAATGCATTTTGTACCTCGTTATAGAATACAAGTAATGTCCTGAAAATTACACCGCAGAATTGTTCACAAGGAGACCAAATTGAAGGCGGCAGAAGAGTGAGCTGGAAAGCTGTATTCAAAAAATATCAAGAATGATAATGTTTACTTAAAAAAGTCTTACAGATGTTCTGCTTTGGGCACACCAAATTGTATATTTACATTCTTAGCCATATTTCTCCTACCCATGTCTTCAGATGAATATAAATTCCACACTGGGAAACGTGCCCTGAAGTGAGGTTACATGTCATATATCTCTGGTTGGTATGCAAAATAGTTTCAAATTAATTTTACTACTTTCCCTAAGCTTTGCCTTTTTGAGACATCTAAAAAAGTTTATTGTTTTATATAAAGGATAAATTTTTATAGGTAAAAAATATTTGCAAGGACTTTAATTTTTAACCTTAAAGTATTCAAGGACCACTAAACAAAATTTTCTTCAACACACTAAGAAATAGAAGCCATTCTTGTACAGTTTTCAAAAAGTGCAACACTGTGGGGGAAAAGTGTCCTTAACAAATTTTAAAAATGATTTATAACTACAAATACACCTGTTTATTACAAGGGAAAACCCATTAAAAATAAATTCTGCTTCAAGTAATTAAATCTTTATTTTATTTCACTTTGAGGGGAAAAAATTTTTTTTTTCCGCACTCTATATTATAGTGAATGGCTTTTTATATCACATAACAATCACTAATTTTAATTTTGCTCAGGTTTTCCTGGATATAACTCCTCTGCCAACGAACAATAACTATCTTTAACGGTTATACAGACATCATTCAGTATTTAAAAATCTTTAGGGGGAGAGAAAATAATTAAAAAACAAAAAAACTTAGAACCAATATTTTTAGTGAATTGTTTTTTATTATTAATTTTAAAAAAAACTTAGATCATATATAAAGTTTTAAAAAATTTTCTCGAATGTTTCTACCTGAAATTTGAATGTATACGTATTTACCAAATTTTTTCTTCGCCAGAAAAACTAACTTGGGGAGGACCTTTTTGATGTGTTTTTGGGGGTGTCCTGCATTACTGCTTTACAATGGTATGGGGTTCCCGCATCACTGTCGACAATGGGACAGTGTTTCCCCGCATCACTGTCCTTACAATGGTACAGGTGCCTGCATCACGTCCTGCAATGGTACGTGGTCCTGCTCCTGTTTGACAATGGTACTTGTGTCCTGCTCACTGCTTGCAATGGTAAAGTGGTCCCCGCATCAATGTCTTGACAATGGGCGTGTTCCCCATCACTGTCTTGACAATGGTACAGTGTGCCTGCATCACTGTCTTTCAATGGTACAGTGTGTCCTGCATCACTGTCTTGACAATGGGACAGTGTTTTCCTGCATCACTGTCCTAAATGGGGACAGTGGGTCCTCTCCTGTCCTGACAATGGTACATGTGTCCTGCATCACTGCCTGACAAAAGGTACAGTGTGTCCTGCATCACTGTCTGACAATGGTACGTGTGTCCTGCATCACTGTCTTGACAATGGTACAGTGTGTCCTGCATCACTGTCTTGACAATGGTACAGTGTGTCCTGCATCACTGTCTTGACAATGGTACAGTGTGTCCTGCATCACTGTCTGACAATGGTTACAGTGTGTCCTGCATCACTGTCCTTGACAATGGTACAGTGTGTCCTGCATCACTGTCTTGACAATAGTACAGTGTGTCCTGCATCTCTGTCTTGACAATGGTTACAGTGTGTCCTGCATCACTGTCTTGACAATGGTTACAGTGTGTCCTGCATCACTGTCTTGACAATGGTACAGTGTGTCCTGCATCACTGTCCTGACAATGGTACAGTGTGTCCTGCATCACTGTCTTGACAATGGTACAGTGTGTCCTGCATCACTGTCTTGACAATGGTACAGTGTGTCCTGCATCACTGTCCTGACAATGGTACAGTGTGTCCTGCATCACTGTCCTGACAATGGTTCAGGATGGACTGAAACATCATGGTAAGGTTTTTCTTCTAAGCGCTGGTTTTTGGTGAATTGTTCCTGCCATGGTATTGTGAGTTTTTATTCTTCATTCACTCTATCTTTTATTATGTACACTACCACAGTCATCAAGAACTTATGCATTTATATTTATTAAGCCGCAAATAATCTTTATAAATACGTTATTTCCTTAAATTCAACAAACATGGGATTAAAGCCTTTCAAAGAGAGGCAGGATGGGGAGAAAGACCTTGATGCAAGGGATCTTGATCCAGACTCTGCATAACCAATACAGAATAATAACCATGAATATAACAACAGGATCCGATTCTAAGTATTGCCTATTCCCTTAAGAGAGAGGTTCTTTGATGATGGTGAGCACCTTGTATTCAAAGAAATTGAGCCTGACCTCCCCTTTCTTGGATCGAACCTGAGTGCCTATTCCCCAGGCACTGCATAACTGTTATGGGTTTAATCACCCCTCCCTCATAAAATAACAATACACAGAACCCCTCTGGAAAGATAGATTGATCACCTTGCTTTAGCTAGACAGCCAATGAAGAATTTTTTTTTATTTAATGGGCTAACAGAGAGAAGTGAGCGGCTGGTAGTGGCAACTGTGGTAGCGATCAGATTATTCTTCCATGATCATAACTATAACGGACAATTCTGTAACCAATGGAGTTTCTATATTATTTTTGATTCAATTCACCCAGGGGATTTTGTCCAATATTTCCAAAGTTTGTTAAATTGATATTTAACAAAGAACCAACTCAATTTACATTTTTCCTTTCAACTCTTTGCTTGTCAGAAAAAATAAGATGCTTATTTTACATTCTTATTTTTACATCTTTGCTTATCTGAAAAAATAAGATGACCACACAGTACTACAGAGACATTAATTAAGAACATTTGAAAAACTGAAATTTTAAAATGTTAATAAAATATATAAAGTAGATTACATGAGGAGAGCTGGAAGATGAACAAGAATATTTATCTGAAGAATATTACACGATTTTACACTGGTATCACTATATTGTACAAGGCTTGTTCACACTGATTATACAAGGCTTGTTCACACTGATTATACAAGGCTTGTTCACACTGATTATACAAGGCTTGGTCACATTAAAGATTATACGAGTTTTGTTCACACTGATTATACACTCACACAGTTACTTTGAAGCAGCCAATAATGTATATAGTCAGCTCTCTTATAAAGTTCCTCTTATATAATAGTGCAGTGTTTTGTAAATGTGTTTAAAAGAGTAAAGTCACAATAGAATGGTATGTGAAGAGGCCTTCATAGTATGTTCAGTTCAACATTGGTTGCAATTTTACAATTTTACAATTTTACAATTGCATTTGCAAAGAACTGCGCTATATACAGTAATTTATAGGAGAGCTGACCATATTTTCCGGCATATAAGGCATGCCTTTTTTCCCCCATAAAAAAGGCTCAGAAGATCCTCCTGTGCCTTATATGTTGAAGGTCAGGAAGAGGGTAGACTTAAGTTACTGGCAGGCGAGGGTTCCAGCGCTGTCGCACCGGTAAACTGAACTATAAACAACACTCTGCACAACTGTTTATCAGAGTGATTAGTAACTATTATCAATTATAATTTACATATTCTTGGTGATTTGTGGGGAAGTGGAGGAAGAATCCTTCCTCCATAAGTCATGCATGTTGTAAGAGACAATTAAAGTGCTAGGAACAAGGGGCAAGTAACCCCTTCTCCTGTAAAAATTACTAAAAAAAAAAAAAGACTGTTTCTTCTTTTTCGATCACCCTTCCTCAGTGGGAGACAGCCATTGTTAAAAAAAAAATAATTACAGGTATTGTCTCTAAACAAACAAGAAGCCATATTTGTTTTGGTGGTTTGTGGCAGTGGAACAGAGGAATAAAAATGGCTTCATTATGTTTACTTTCAGGATGAATATTTTTTTTTTTTTAACAAAACAGCCATCTCCAGCTGAGGCAAGGTGAACTAAAAAGAAAAATTAAGTTTTTCTTTTTACATTTAGTAATTCATACAGGAGAAGGGTTTAATAGCTCCTTGTTCCTGGTATTTTAGTCGCCTCTTTCGACACGCATGGCATAAAATATTTTCTTTTATTTCCTCATGTTTTACAAATTCAACGAAAACTCTCAAAGTTACAGAATGTTTGTACTAAATATTCTAAGTAAAAATCTGATCTTGAATGTCTTGATGTTTACTTATACCCCTTACCCCCTACCCCTTACCCCCCTCTGATTATGTCAGTTGGTGTTGCCATATTTGTTGACACCAGTGGTGATGGCACCTGGTGTCAGTGGTGATGGCACCTGGTGTCAGTGGTGATGGCACCTGGTGTCAGTGGTGATGGCACCTGGTGTCAGTGGTGATGGCACCTGGTGATGGTGATGGCACCGTGTCAGTTGATGGCACCTGGTGTCAGTGGTGATGGCACCTGGTGTCAGTGGTGATGGCACCTGGTGTCAGTGGTGATGCCTACCCAGCATCCACCTCCTGCCCACCTTCTACTCACTACACCTACCAAGTACTGCAATATTTAACTTTTCCCAGGACATGCTTGCCAAAATTAGGGTGAGTCTTATGTTTGTGCCATATATGCCAGAAAATACAATACTTATTGTAAATACATGCCCTTCAAGGGTATGTATATACACTAGTGAATACTGTGTATACATACCCTTCAAGGGTTTGTCTAAACAAAACTGAATATTGCATATAAATATTTTTCAAAGTCAGTGACTTATTATTATATTAGTGGAAAGTGCTAAACCCCTAAGGGTCATACAGCACTTGAGAAATGGGAGACAATCAGTTTTGATCTAAGGGAAGGGGAGGCCAAGTTCAATTCCACAAATCAAATGCCACACACCAGTATCAAGGTACCTCCCTGCTGGGAAGGAGGTACCTTGTTGCCAGTGGAGGATCTTAATGCAATAAGTTTAGACTTTCTTTTTCCTGACTCAAACTTGACCACCACCATTACCCAGGCACTGTGTGACCTCTGTCTGTTTGGTGCTTTCCCATGAATGTAATAATAATAATGTATATACATACACATAAGTGTATGCATTTTATATACATAAAAACAGGCAGTATATTGTATATACATACAGGCAGTAAATAAAGTATATACATACATACATGCAGTCATAAAGTATTCCATATTGAACCAATAAGGCCTCCTCTATTGAATTTCTCACACAACACTTATTGGCAGAAAACACTTATTTTTGCATAAATTATTATAATCCAGGTACACATTTATTCATAGTTTGCTTATCAGAATTATGGTAGGCAAAAAGCAAACTTTAATTCAAAAAACAGACCCCTGGCTCTTTCCCATCTAAATTAGCATTTATATATAAGAATGGATAACAACGGAAGAAATATCTGAAAAATCAACAATGACGTATTTCGACGCTGAACAAGAATCTGGTACCAGTGGGTGCTGTTAACTGTTTATCTTGAGACAATTTTAGGCATTCAATGCCCTGTGGTCCAGTCCCAGACCAGTGTCACTGTTGGTCAGATGTTCTCACTCTGAGCCTTGACATTGATAGTTACATCTGTAATCAGAGGGTTGGATTTTCTTTTTTTTTTTTTATAGTTCAGTGGAAAACATCACTGAATAGTCATAGCGTTCATCAGTATATCTGATCCAAAATCAACCAAAGAAAAAATTATAAAATAAATTAAAAACGAACATTTCAATTACACTGTGCCAGGCAGATTACCACACTGACACCGAACAATCATTTACTAAAGAAAAATATAAAGTATGAAAATACTGTGGAAAGGAGGCAATATATGAGAGGTGTGTATTCACCAGTTTGTGGTTGCAGGGGTTGATTCTCAGACCCCGGCCCTTCCCTGTGTGTGTAGACACAGGAAGGCTGGGTAGGGGGGGATGTGTAGAGTGAGCATGAGAGAGAACATGATAGTGAGAGAGAGACAGAGACGGGGGGGATGTGTAGAGTGAGCAGAGAGAGAACATGATAGTGAGAGAAGACAGAGATGGGGGGGGATGTGTAGAGTGAGCATGAGAGAGAACATGATAGTGAGAGAGAGACAGAGATGGGGGGGGATGTGTAGAGTGAGCATGAGAGAGAACATGATAGTGAGGAGAGCAGAGACAGGAGGGATGTGTAAGGAGCGAAGAGGGGGGGGGATGTGTAGAGTGAGCATGAGAGAGAACATGATAGTGAGAGAGAGAGACAGAGATGGGGGGGGGATGTGTAGAGTGAGCATGAGAGAGAACATGATAGTGAGAGAGACAGAGACAGAGTTTTTTTTTTCTTTAGTTTGGCTGGCTGTATGAGTAGCATGTGCAGATTAGCAGATGGAGGATTGAGCCTCCATTACTGTTTGTAATGAATGAGCCACATGGGTTTAAAGCAACACATCCAATGTAAACAGGAATAATAATGACCACAGCATGTGATGTGCCTTGGTCTCTTCAGTAAACAAGAACATTATCAGCCCCTCAGCACAGACCAAGGGGTGGTGCTATCAGCCCCTCAGCACAGACCAAGGGGTGGTGCTAGGCAGAAAGTGGTGCACCAGAACCCCCCCCCGCATAAAAGACAAAGGTCCGTGCTATCCCATCACAAGACCAAGGTTGCTAGGCAGAAGTGGTGCACAAACCCCCCCCTAAAAAAAAATTGACTCCCAATAATAATTCAGCTTCACAACAAAGTTCCGTCTCTTTCAACCAGACTGCAAAGCTGTATGACCCTTATGGGTTTAGCACTTATTTGTGATTATTATAATAATTTCAATCAGACTACCACCCTAAGCCCCTTCTATATACAACTTTTGCAGCCACCCTTGCATAGATCAATACACATATAGATAATTCAGAGGTGTGGCAGTGTGTTTATAGGAGAATGTTGAAGAATGTAAGGGAGAAATATATGATACAAGTGAAGACAGCAGTGTAGCTCAAACCACCAGTAATTTCTATTATTAATGTCTCATTTATTTATCAAAATAAAGATGTAAATATGAATCAAAATGTAACAATAACTGATACTGATAACACAATATGGCAAAAATCAGAAAAGCAGTGAGGGGGGGGCGAGTGGTTAGAAATATTGTTTGTCAATGCCCTTTGACTCATTGTGTTTGAACTTGACTGTTGGTGCTGGCTTTAACCCCAGCATAAATGTTGTCTGTCAATGCTCCTTAACTCTCTGTCTGAACCTGACTATTTCTTCTGGCTTTAACCCCAGCATAAATGTTGTCTGTCAATGCTCCTTAACTCTCTGTCTGAACCTGACTATTTCTTCTGGCTTTGACCCCAGCATAAATGTTGTCTGTCAATGCTCCTTAACTCTCTGTCTGAACCTGACTATTTCTTCTGGCTTTAACCCCAGCATAAATGTGAGACTCGACAGATTTCATGCCCCAGCATTCCACCAAATGTATAACTTTCTACTTAAGAGTTACTGGGCCCTGAAGATCTATGCATGAAGGGATGACAATGCCTTTCATTTCACATATTAAGATTCTGCTCAATTTTCACCATAAAAGTTCTTGATAGTAAGTTTGATTTAAGGTTATAATATATCAGTTACTTCAACACAATCCAGAATCAATTCTATTAATTACATATGTTGTTTGTGAAGATGGATGATGTCAGCCATATTCCACACACTGGTACAAACGACCAGTATCCCATAATTCTTTCTCCTGACAACTTTACTGTCCCTCAAAGTTACTTTATGCAATGCATTTATGTATGGCATACAATAAGTATACCAAAGAAAAATGAAGATATTTTAGGTTCCTAATGGCTGGCTATAATTTAGTCAAAAAGATGCGAATTTCTAAATTATGAATGTTAGAGGATAAATAACAAAAAAGGCACAATACCGTGACTGGAACGATACACAAATAACCCGCACATAAAAGAGAGAAGCTTACGACGACGTTTTGGACCGAAACGTCGTCGTAAGCTTCTCTCTTCTATGTGCGGGTTATTTGTGTTAGATTATAAGTTCACTCGTGAAATCGTAATAACACAATTTCAAACAAACCAGAGTGGACAGAACTCAAAATAATGACAGGTGAGCCCTGCCCTTTCTGTTAGATTTTTCCCTTCAATTTTGGATCAAACATATTGATGAACAGTACAAAAATACTAAATAATGTGTTCTATCAAACTATGCACCCTTAAAAAATAAAAAAAAATCTATTTGAACTAATGTTTATTTATTTTGTGTCGTAGCTGTACCTCACTGAGTTTGGTAGTTAAGCACCCACTGCATCACACTACATAACATACATTCCAATCAATTTCAAAACAAAAAATAAATATTAATCTCCAAGACAAAAATTAAACAACATTCTGACGAATTTAGTCACAGCAGAAAATAAGAGAAAATTTTAATTCAGCAGAAACAAATTACCTCAATAAGAGACATTATACATACTTCATATATCCAAATTGCGAACATATATCTTGTATCTAGTATATAACCTGAGGTTTTTACTTAATTTTTTCTTTAATAATAAAAATTATAGAATACAATTTATAGAAAAGAGAGCAGTTTACAATAAATATTCAAAATGCCTATCACAGAGCTTACAAAATAAAAAGATAAGAGAGAGAGCTCTAAACCATACAGATTCTTTACTTCTAGATTTATATCTTATAATAACCACAACATCTTATTAATTTGAGTATGGATTTCCAGCACCTGCTTTAACTGTGATAATTTGTAAAGAATAATAAAGTTTAATTGATACCAAAATATAATGCCATTACATTACTACTATATTCACATATTTTATGAATTCAGATGCTACTAAAATGCCATATTCATATCCTGGTTAATTCTAAAATTAATCAAAGCTGTTATAGTCTAGTATAATCTATTTTAGATCACAATTATCTCAAACAGGGAGCACACTAATCTGCTGTATTAGTTGTTAGATATCTCTTATTATCTTCACTTGAGTATCTTTCAGATTTTGGCATAGATCTATTTACTTTCAAAATCTACTTCTAAGTAAAGTAGGCTCTCTATAAAACTCATCTATAAAGTACAGTTTTTTGTAAATGAGACTGAAAAAGTACAGTGAAAACTGAACAGTGAGTGGAAAGGCCGGTCTTCATAGGTCATGACATTCAATTCTGGATGTACTTTTTCAATAGCATTTACAAAAATAACACTACTTAGTGGCGCAGTATAAGAGAGCTTACATTATTCATCTGGGGGTTGAACCAAGTCGGTAAACTACAAGACTAATGTCACACTATTATCACATTGAATTAACACATTTTTTGCACAGGTAATTCCACACGCTGCTGCCCAATATGAACCATCAGAATGGATCTTCTCAGAAGACCGCTTCAAGAAGAGGCTTCCTACCCATACCATCACCACACCACAGAACAAGGGGAAAGGATTTGCAGATTTCATCAAACTATACACTTATGAGACTCGTTTTCACACACAAACATCTTTACCTACTACAAGGAACTTTGACAGTAATTTTAGAAACTACCAAATGACTTAGGCATTGTCAACTTGTAATGGTAAAGCATTTTGAAAAATGAAC